TAAGAGCTGGCAGTTTGAGAGTATTCTCAAGTAGTTGAATTTCAAAGACGTTGAAGTTTTGAAGGAGTTGAACATCGTCTCCTTTTACTTACATTGTACAAATTGCAGAAAAAGCTTAGTATTTCAAAAATGATGAATAGTATCACAAACTTGAGGAAAGGATACATCTCCCGAAGAAGCTGAAAGTTTTGATAGTTGAACAGTTTATGTAGCACAAAGTATGCAGGAGTAGTTAACAACCGAAAGAAAGTAAAAGGAGGATCTGGTGTATAACACCAGTGGAGCAGGTTAGATTCAATATGTCTACTGCTGTATTTACTGTTGTTCTGTCCAGTCTGAATACACACCCATCATAGACTCAAGAATGATCTGAAAAAAACATGAAATTAAAACTGTGATAATGCAAAAACTACACAAGATATCAAAAAGTTGAATAGTTTTAATAGCTGAATGTCTTGTGAACAAGATTGTCTCCATTCATTTGAATGGAAAAAAAATTGCAGAAAAATTGTAATATTTTGAAAATTATGAATAGTAGAAAAAAGTTGTATGCATCAGATAATCTACAGAACAAGCTGAACTTTTTGATAGTTGAATGGTTTTTGTACGAAAAAGTATGAAGGAGTAGATAGTAGAGACCGTAGAAAGGCGGAAGAAATAAGAATAAAACCTTTCTTTATCTATGAAAAAGGTAGCACTTGGAAAACACTGATTAAAGGTTATCCACCAATCAGAATGAGTTCCAAAGGCAATCCACCAATTACAATATATGTACTGTGGAGTCAGTTATATTGCAAACTGAAATTAACAACCAAATATTTCCTGAATAATATTGTGCCTATCTGCCCGCCTGTCTCTGTCTGTCTGTCTGATTATCTGCTTGTCTTTCTGTGTACCTTTCAACCTGTCTCCTGTTTGTTTGTATGTGTGTCTGGCTGTCGCAGACACAAAATGAAAAAATGAGGCTGAATAATCACTTAATTTCCAAGTCTTGTGAACAGTTTAGATTTTGAATCAAGTGTGTAGCTGAAAGTATGCTCAAGTAGTTGAATTTCAAAGACATTGAAGTTTTGAAGGAGTTGAACATTGTTTCCATTCACTTAGATTGTAAAAAAAAATTGTAGAAAAAGCTTCTTTCAAAAATGATGGATAGTATCAAAAAGTTGAAGGTAAGGATACATCTCCTGAAGAAGCTGAACATTTTGATAGCTTATTGATAGTTTATGTAGCACAAAGTATGCAGGAGTAGTAGCAACCAAAGGAAAGGAAAAGGAGGATCTGGAGTATAACACCAGTGGAGCAGGTTAAGTTCAATATGTCTGCTGCTGTATTTACTGTTGTTCTGTCCAGTCTGAACTGGTTTCTCCCTCTGTGAGTACTAACTTGTAAACAGCTTTCTGTCTGTGTTTGTGTGTGTCTGTTTGTGTGTCTTTCTCTCTGTCTGTGTGCCTCTCTCATCTGTATTTATGTGTGTTTCTGGGTCAGTTAGAATGACAAACTGAAATTAAAGCTGTAAGCAGCGATGAATGGGCCCTTGAACTCCTGCACACCTCGGGGGGGCTCACAGTGCGCCATCTGAAGCAGTCGCATATCGTAACGCACATTTTTGTGCCTTATGCAGTGTTTCCAAATCTTAAAACTATTAAGTCAAGTACTCTTGCCAAGATGTTTTATGAGAAAATACTATTCTATAAAGACTAATATACTATTTTTAGCCATTTTTCCTTAAAACATGGCAATTTTGCATACATTTAATACATGTCTGTATCAAACAACTTGACATGTAAATGTAATGTTTTTTATCAAACCTATATTATTGTCAGGATTATATGTGTGTCCCTATTTACATAAGATATATTTTTTTTAAATAAAAACATACTTCTTTGTAAAAATTTAATGATTTGTGTGTGTCCTTCATTTGAGATTTTTGACATGTTTTGCCTATAAACAATGTACTTTTACTTTAACTGACACCACGAAGAGGAAGTGACATCATTTGAGGCTTTGGAGAAGCCAGGACAAAGTTCTGACCTTTAATATTGTTTATTTGTTGCCTTTTCATGTTAGATGTGGTTTGTTTGCTCAGCCCAACTACCCATCATGCAAAACAGAGAGGGAAAATGTTTTTTTATAAAATTTTTAAACTGTTAATGCAAAGAAAACTGTATTTGAACTATGTATAGCATGTATGTTAGGTGAGGAACTTGACCGCATGGTGAACTGCAGACATTTAAGGATGAAATTTACCACCTCCTTATATACCAACCTGTCACTTTTATTGTGACGGGGTGGTTAAGGATGTGATAGGGTTCTGCTTCCAGTTTCAATGTGAAAATTTTATGAATTCTCACTCACTCAGTCAGTCTCTCACTCACTGTTTAAATAATGTTGCATTTGATAACAGAGAGGTTCAGGAGATCTTTTGTTCCCACTGCCATCAGGCTATACAACAACTCAGCCAAAGGAAGTGGACTAATCTAATTATTATTGTTTATTTATTATAAACTGTTTTTATTATCATCAACAATGAGCTAATGGACACATAAATTTCTCCTAGGGGATAAATAAAGTATCTATCTATTTGCAGATAGATCATGGGTCCTTTAAGTGCTGCTGAAAGACAAAGGCAATGCCATGCAAGGGATGCTGATCCTAAGAGGAGGCAAGAATAAGTACTATAAAGCAAGAAAAGAAAGAGAAAAAATACAAATTGCAAAAGTAACAGTGGGGAGGATTGTGAAGAAATACAGACTTTCTGACCAAGGATTTGCTGAGAATGCCCTCAGATTCTCAAAGAAGCGTCGCAGTGTTCAGAGTGACCTTGGAGGACACACAAGACAATCTTGTGGAGTTGTTCCAAACTCTTCTGCACAAATTCAAAATACATACATTCAACATTAATCACCAGTACCAGTTGAAAAAAGACCTGTGCAGAGAGGAGGCAGTGATTCATATGGACTTTTCTGAAAACTATACATGCAAATACAGCTCAAAGATTCAAGCTGTACACTTTAGCTCCTCACACCAACAGGCTACTCTGCACGATGGTGTTTTGTATATTATAGGTGGTGAAAAACAGCCTATTTGCTTCAGAACAGTGTCATCCTCCGAACACAAAAGTCCGCCAGCAATACGGGAACACATGAATCCAGATTATCTACGAGCCACATATCCACTGTGTCTGTCCTACGCTTCTGAGTGATGGACCATGAACACAATATAAGCAGAAAGGGAATTTCTTCCTTTTCAGCACAGAGCTTGTAAGATGAGGTTTTAGAGGTGGCACATGGAATTTTTTTAAGCTTGCCATGGCAAAGGAGCCCTTGATGGTGTTGGGGGGACCTTGAAAAGAACAGCGGACAAGCTGGTGACCAATGGCCATGACATACCCAATGCCCATGAGCTGTATAAGGCCTCCACTGAAACATCTACAACTGTTAGGTTGTTTTATGTAGTTTATGCTGCATCTTGTGATTGGCACAAGGTCTTTGTGCATAGATTGTGTGGCTTTGGTGTTTCTTGAGCCAAAAATGTGGACACATGGGGTGAGTAACAAAAAAAGGTCACCTATGCTTTTCTTTGGAAATCAGCTCCTGAATTTGTATTGCAGTTTGTGGGAGAGTTGGAGGGTACTCCCATCACTTTGAGGCTCACTATTAAACTCTGTAAAGTCTCTTTGCTTAGGTAGACAATTTCCACAAAACAGCACGAATTTGTCTACTATCGAGGAAGCTGTGATGTGTGAAGACTGAAATATGTGGCTGTAAGAACGAGTTACACATAATTTTTTCAGGAGTTTGAGAGCTTCTGCCACTCTAGTAATGATGTCATCCACTCTAGCTCTGAAAGTTCTGTGCAATACACACCCATTATAAAGTCTGAAACAGTCTAAAAATGACAAAATCGTATAGTGCGATTTTGTGTAACCGGTAATAGTAGTCAAAATACAGATTTATCTCAAAACAGTCTCAAGTCTCTTGTGACCCATTTAACGTTTCAACCATTTTTCCATGTTGACGTATGACAAGGCAGTAGAGATCCAAAGAGGGCTGGGTTTGGTTGTTTTGAAGACATCTCCCCGTTCATTCTCTATGGGATGTTTTTCGCCTTTTATCACCATTTACGTCACCATGGTTACTTGAATCGCTAAGTCATGGCACACCTACTGTCCATGGTAGAGCATGAAGCCTTTCAGAAGATGACAAATAATATTGGATGTAATTTAAACAATAAAATGTTTTTGTTAAAAGGAAACCATTTAGTTCCTGATTTCTCTTCTATTTTTTAAATATTTTCTATTGTTCTTTAATGACACAAAAGTATTTCTTATCCGATTTCTCGATTAAGCGATGGAATAATCGGTAGATTACTCCATTACTAAAATAATGAATAGCTGCAGCCCTAAAATTGCTTCTTGTGAACTGTGGGTATTTTTATTAATAAAATGTTGCAAAGTAAGAAGATGGACGAGTTTTTGACAGTTCATTTTGGGGGTGCAACAACTGCACTATGACCCACAGATCTGCTATAACTACCTGTAGATTGCAGCTAAAAAGGAAAGCAGACTGCAATTTGTCTTGTTGGGCTTCAATAGAAGTGAATGGACAGAGGAACGAATAGTCATCTGCTTGAAAAGTAATGTGACCATACCACTGTCTTGCCCCTCTGACAGCCAGCTTTTCACCCTGCCTCTGAGTGTAGCTGTTCTGAACACCTATTAGCATACTGAGAACCCTCACCCCTCCTTAAGTTACTGTTGTTACACCTCAGTGACAGATTTACCAATTGAAATTAGTAATTTTTTAAACAATGGCTTGTTTTCAAAAAGAGCTTGGGGAAAAACAGCTTCTCATTTCTAGCTCTGACCCCAGCTTTCGCTAGCTGCTAGCAAATGTTATCAGTTGTAGGTAGCTAGCTAGTTAAGATAATGTTAGCTGTATGCATTGGTTAATAACTGGCTGACCTTGGAACGTTTCAAATTGATTCGCTTCAAAACTAGATCTTGTCAAAGGGTCTTTATTATGCAACTCACAGCTACAGGCCTGCTGTCCTTGATCACAGTGGACTGTACTGTTGTTCGAAGGACGGGTTTGAGGCCTGCTGACACTCACCGTTTAGGAAAGACAAAAAAAACAAACAAAAAAACAAACAACTTTCCTTTGTTCATAATATGTATGACTGAAGTTACAGTATGACTTTACTGCAACCTTAGCACAAAAATGATAACTGAAATAAATTATAAGTAAAACCAAGTTGCAAAATGCAGTAAACAGTAAGCGGTCACCTGCACTTCTGAAGAGAGAGAGCAGAAACCAGGATTAAAGACTCCCTGGGTGATAAACGTGCTTTTTGCACAATTTACAGATACTTGCAGTTGTGACTTTGGCTTTCACATTTACACAAAAAGGTTTGAGTTACACAAACAATGTCTTTGTCGCTTTTTTCTTCTGCTTCTTTTCTGATAAAAAAAGCTTCAACAGCACAGATCAAACCAGAAAAGAGAATCCCTAAAGAAAGTCATCCGTTTAATCCCGTTTATCAGGATCCACAGTTTGCTCTTCTTTATGTTTGTACAACTAATTTTTTTACCATCTTCTTCCTAAGAGTCGGTTGAGAAGTATTATATAATTTTCCACCTAATCCCTCATTTTTACATTTTTTAAATTCTACACCTGTTCCATAAGCAAGATCAAACATGTAAACCAGACAGCTTTGGCATTATTATAAGGTGGATTTTCTTGTTTCTGGAGCTTGGCTAACAGATCCCCCTGGTTCTAGTCTTTGTGATTAGCTACACTTAATACATCCTAGATTCAAAATGATATCCATCCTCTCATCTGGCTGTGAGATGGAAAGTGAACCAAAATGTCACAGTTCTTCAAAATACACTGGCCCTGGGTCATTCATCATAAAAGCAAAAATGCAAATACTCCTTCCTCATTTAACACTTCAGATTCTGATGCTCATGTGCAGCATAAACAGTGAGCAGATGGTAGCCCAATGCCTGACCCTAGGACACTTTGTACTGTTGGCTGTGGCAAACTGGTGGTGTTCTGGTTACTAGTCATTATGTTAATCACCTTGCACCAGGATCATCATGTTTGTTATGCAACAGAAATCATTTCAAAATAATTCAGGCCCCAAAACTCATTCATCCGTTTTGACCGGCAGGAGAAAACAAAAACAGCTGAAATGACACAAGAAAAGTTTAAAACAATCATTCAACTTGTTTAAATTTACTTGGTTTGAAAAAAAAACAAAAAAAACAGCATTATGTAAAAAAATTACTACTATTTTCTCAGCTCACAGTTTATTCCACTCGGTCATGCCCTTAATGAGGCCTGATTGTTATGAAAATATCTCTCACTATATAAACAAGCATAGTTAATCTTTCTGCACAGGTTTTTCTCCACACAGCGCGGCATGTGTTTTCTGTGTATGTTGGCACTGAGGCAGGTGTGTATGTTACAAACGGAGCTTGCGGCCGTCAGTCATCAATGAATGTCAACCGCCCTGGTCCCTCGTTCTTCATCCATCGGCGGTACCTCTTCATCCTTGGATCGGTCGCCATCTTTACCTTCATTTCCTCCTCCTGCTCCTTTCTGTACACCTGAAAGACACACATGAAGAACAGTCACACTCTCTAGGTCAAACCACCTGGTTTGGGCAGAGGGGAGGTTAACCTGTGTCATGTCACACTCACCACTCTGCTGCTCAGTTTCACTTTTTATTAACACAAATACTTGCTCACTAAACTAGAGACCATCTTGTAATGGGATCACACCAGCTGCGACGTCTGCCAACATGTTAACGTTCCAACCCATGAGTACTCAGTAGTCACTGGCTACATTATTGCATGAGTACTCAATACTCATGTTTGGATAACACCCATCTTTGAACTCAGCCTTCATTCTGATCAACTGGATGTGACACTATCACAATGACGAAATCTGTCCACAGACAGACTGACATTAACACAGTCCTCAAAACAACCTCTGTGGCATTTCCCACTACAGCAGGTCTCTCCAGAACCACATTCTGCCATGATGTCACTTTTTTATTGGAAATTCAAACATTTGTACAAACTTTTGGGAAAAAGTTAGGATTCCAACCATAGAGACCTGTTTGAATCCAGCAGAGGGCACTCTAAATCTTCACTGACAGCTTGACCTATTGACATATCTGTAAACTAAGCAGCTTTTAATGTTACGTTGTTTGCTATGAAAATGGAGAACACTGGTGAGCAAAGCCATCCGGGGAATCGTGACACCAAAGCATCTGAGAAGCAGTGTGTGGAAGAATTCTGAGTTCTACACGGCTACACTTGCAACCTCCCCCCTAAGCGCGGGAGCAGAGGCACAAGTGAGTGGAGCAATGCCAAGCGTACAACCTCACCTGGTTGCCTACTATTCAGCACAATCAGCTTCAGCAGGCCGTTTACCAGAAGCTCGTCACAGCAGGTAATAACTCTTATCACTACTTTGCTACTACATTTTTATAAATTGGCTGTTGAGCTACCAACAGTAAAACGTCAAACATCCTGCAGATTTTTCACATTAAAAACCAGAAACCAGGAAAATCATCGTTTCAATTCAACTTGCATTCATAGTACCATAAAAACATAAATGTCACCTTCCCTACAATTTACATGCTCATGATGCAGCCCATCATCGGTACACTCCTTGCTCCACTGTTTCACAGTCACTGTGGTAGTCCTGACCAGGTCCACACCAAATGCTGGACCCCATCTGATCCAAATAAATGTACTTTGGTTTCATTTGACCAAAGAATTTGTTGCCAATATTCATCATGCCTCTTTTCATGTTTTTTGGCAAAGCTGAATCTTGCACTTGGTGCAGTTTTATGAGTAGAGGTTGACTTCATGCAAAGTTCTTTGCACTGTCTGATCAATCACTGAAACACCTGTTTCCACAGTTGATCCTTGTGCCTAGTCATAAACACTTAACCATCTGTTTACCAATGCAAGTTGACGTAAATAATGCGACTTCTATCTGCCGTCATTTTTCAAAGACAACCACTGTGCCTTCTGTAATTGGTAGTATGGCTATTCTTTTACCTCTTTTGCCTACAGTAGTTCTTGTACCTGTTCCCATCTTTAAATCTCACAATCTGGTTTACTTGATCAGGCAGTTCCTCACCATGTGGAGTCATGGTGCATTAGACACAACTGTGGGCAAAACTGTGGTGTTCACAGTTATTTTATAACCTTGTTCAAGCAATTAGCATTAATTGGAAATCACAGGTATAATCACTTTTCTTGCAGTGGTCGACAATTGCACTTCTTAACATTTTAAAAGGTACTGACCAAGGGTGTATTCAGTTTCGTTGTATATTGTCAAAAAGTTCTCTCCTTTTTTCCAGTTTTTATTGAAATGTAAGCAGTACTGAAAGAACTGAAGAATCATGTAACTTTCATAGAAGACCACCTTTTTCATTAAGTTGGCGAACTTTCCTGCAGTTATGCCAACAGTTCCCAACTTTTCCTGTTGACTTACAAACCCCTTGTCTGTACAGAGTTGGAACAAACTGTGTTACTACACCCTCTGATGCATTATTAGGACTTTATAATGCTATTGTGAGAAAAGGGCAGGTAACAAAGTGAGACAGACTGATGGGCAGGGCTTCATCTTATAGCAAGATAATGGGTAACAACATTATAAGAACAGAACCAGGCGAAGGCTTCACATGATGAAGACCAGCACATTCTCGAGATCTGAAGCCTATGGAGCTGGTTTGGGATGAACAGGACAGAAGGTGAAAGCAAAGTAGCAAGTGACACATTCATAGGAACTTCTGCGACAGTGTTAGGACCAACTGTCTGAACATTTAATTTCCAGTGTAGGAGGAAGGTCAGAGTGAGTTCAGCTGCTGAATGACTCAAACATTTAGATTAAAATTTAGTTCAACAAGCATTCCATGACTCCTTTTTTCTGAAATCTAAAATTGCTTATTTTTTTCTAGGATTTAATTTCAGAAACACTGAGACACTGAATTATGTATATTAAAAGAACAACTTGACAAATTGAGGTATCCTAAAACTTTTGAGCTGTACTAAACAAGCTGCTGGGTGCAGGAACAAGGGTAAGAGCTGTGTTAGCTTTTGTGGTAAATGGGTAATGGGTGAGTAAATGGGTGGAAGAAAGAAGGCAGTGAAACTAAATGGAAGATGCCAGTAACACCTGAACTGAAGGTAGCTTGTAGGAAAGAAGGAGAAAGTCGATAGGGAAGGATGGAAAATCAGTAAGAATAAAGACAGGTGTTGTATACAGAGCCAAGTGAAAGTCACAAACCTCGTAGTTTTCTTTGATCCAGAGCTGTTTCTCCAGGAAGGACTGTCTTGTGTTTTCATCCAGACTGTCAAACTGAGATTGAGACATCTTCATGTACCTCCTGAGAGTTAGACCACAAACAGTGTGCTGTGAGATTGTCTGACACTGAGGACACTCACATAAGAAACATATAAAAGCTGTCTAGATCAATCTCATTCACCGAGGTTAGGGAAGTCACGAAAACTGATACTTTGGTACCAAGTTGATAACAAAATTCTGGTGGCACTTGTTTTTCTACAGGACTGTAAATACTGAAGGTACCGTGGATGTTCTAGGTACTGGAGATGTGATTCTTCAGAGACTGACATGGGCAGTTTAATAAAAAGCCATGACTTGTGACAAAAAAAAATCTTAAAACTGGTGTACAAAGATATTTTACGTTTCACGCTGATCATCAGGGACAAGTTATAGACGACTGAAAGTCAGAGTGTTTAAATGAAAGCAGGAAACAGCTCAGACTGATCTGTGCAGCTCAGAGACAGACATCAGATCTGCACAGAGTTCAGACTGAGTGAGTTTCAGTTGTTCACTTTATATCACCAACATGTTGTCAACATGTTCAGGTCCTGACATGTTACTGTTACTGTCTGTGAACTATGACCACTGAGATCTGTTGTAGCAACGCTCCACACAACTTTTACAAAGGTTAACATTAGCTTTTTGAGGCTAGCGTAGTGACAGCTCATACCTTGAGTTGGATGAGTGGTTTAAACCACTGCTTGCACACTGACTTTTTGGAGGTGTGTGCATGTGTAGGTATGTGTGCGTGCCATTTTTTTGTTGCGGTATCAAATTTGGTATCAAGAATCATGGAATTTCATTCATATTGGTACCGACTAAATTATTATTATTTTTTAAATGTTGGTATTGTGGCATCCCTAAGTTAAACTTTCCATAAGAACTGACCTGATGATGTAGAGTTTTTCATTGTCTCCATACTCCTCCCTGCATATGGTGAAGCGGTAAACCCAGGAGACATACCAGGCCACATAGTTGGTCAGGTAGTAGGGGAAGAGCACGATCTGACATAGCAGGATGTCTGACAGGTTGGGCTTTTGGTAGCCTCCTTTAATGTCGATCTTGTTTTTGATGATGTCACGAATCACCTCCTCTTCCTGCTCCCGGATCTCTTCTTTGGAGCGACGGTTTTTGCCCTTCTCCTTGGAGCGGTTGAGGAGGCCCTGCTGCTTGGCGATCTCCGTGGCCTGGATTCGGTATTTGGGGACCGTCACCAGGTAGTTGATCGCCTCGTTGTAGCTGCTGTGCCAGCTGTAGTACTGGAGGAAAGAGGGAGGGTTCTGTGTTAACGGTTTATACCTCTGTCATACATATGAAATACAAAATGCTACTTTTTCTAAAAAGAAAGTTGGAAAAGAGGCGATGACAAATAGGATTAATGAGCCACTGTAATCTAACATCTCTTATCATCAGAGATTGGCTTCACAAAGACAGACTTTGACTGTGGCTTATATATAACAAATAGTCAGACTTTAGATAGACATCTAAACAGTTCTCAGGACATTTTACTTGGGAAATTCAGCAAAGAGTGAAACAATAAAAAGAAAAACCTGATTTCAAACCACAAATTATGAGCCATGTTTTCATGTTTTTTGTTGTTGGTTGCTACTGGTGTCACTGATTACCGTGTTACCATGGTAACATTGGTCTTAGACCTAAATTAGCCTGGGGATAAGGTGTCTTTTGGCTTAAAATTAGTCATTATTTTGTGAAAGGCTCTTACTTGCATTAAACTAATCTATTAGCAAAATTAAGACTGGCCTAACACTGCAGACCAATCTAAAATATCTTTGGGAAACTGGCCCCAGGTCTTCAACTGTCCAGTGTTGGTGAGTCTGTGTCCACTGCAGCCTCAAGCTTTTCTACTCAGCACAGTTGTAAAGAGTGGTTATCTAAGTGACTGTAGCCTTTCTGTCAGCTCCAACCAGTCTGTCTATTCTCCACTGACTGTTGATGAGAGATCAACAAGCTGATTCCTCCACAAAGTTTTTTATTTTTCCACCATTCTGAGTAAAAACTCTGTTGTGTGTGAAAATCCAGGAGATCAGCAGTTAAAGAAACAGTGACGTTGAACGTGACATGATTGTTGGTGTCAGGTGTGGAATTGACTAATATCACATTTTTTATCATGATGTTTGATGTGAACATTAACGGAAGCTCCTCACTGGCAGGATTTTATACTTTACATTGCTGCCACATGATTGGCTGACTGGATAACTGCATGAATAAGTAGGTGTGCATGTGTTCCTAATAAAGTGCTCAAAGCGTGTATGTATTGAATGCATGTCAAATAAAGTTTGAGTGTTAAAAATATAAAAAAACAACAACAACAAAAAAAAAAACAATATCCATGATCAGAGCTGTGGGGCTGTCTTTGGTTTTGACTGTAAACAAACTGCAGAGGGCGTTCACTATTTGTTTCTTGTTTTTTTCATGGGATTTGTCAAAGGAAAAACTTTCCTTAAAGAATACGACTGTTATTCTATATTTTTTTTATTTTTAACAAATCCAATAACCCAAACCAACAACAATAATTGTAAGAGAAATATAGAATATCACCAGGTTTATTCTTCAAATGACATACTTAGATAGCAAGAAAGTTTTACCATTTAAATATGGAGAAGGATGTTTTTTGAACCTGTTGGTAGTTTCTGAACCTGTTGGAGGCTGCAGTCGTACCTGGAAAATGGAGATGGCACAGATGGTGACCAGGATGACGATCCTGACGTCCACTTTTGGGGTGAGCTGTCGGCGGTAGTAGGCATAGTAATGCTGGTAGTACTCCTCAGGATGGTCCAGCATGTAGTCATAGTCCCGCCGAGTGTCCTCGTCCTGCACACACAGACGAGGCCTTATTTCTGTTTTTCCTAAAATGTTTCTGGAATGGAAGACCTACAGAAGGAGCTCAGCCAAAACTGGTCTAATCATTAAAAAAAACTAATAATTTTTTCATTTCATAATGTTGTTGAAATTGCTATGTAAACAAAACACATACTGTTGTATGCAAAAGTTTGGACACCTCTGGACAAGTTACATATTTTGTTGATTTTTAAAGTGAAAAGAAGTAAATACAACCCTGCCAAAAACACACATTAAATGTGAACCTTTCTGTAATTGTTATGTACTTCTTATTTCATACGAATATATTTGTATTTTAAGTTATTTTCCTTTTTGTGTCTTTTCGATTGCAATGTTTTTGTTAATATCGGTAGGCTTTCTCCGTCTCTCTCAGTTTGCTCTTTTATCAGTTTTCAGGTGCAAATACTCGTAAGGAATTCCTTTTTGTAGAGCAACATGTATGCTGTTGTGTCTATGTGGCCCTTTTTCATTGGACACAGAAACTATAAGGACTCAAATTAAGGTCAAAAAGATTTTGAGCTTGTAAAGTGATGTTCATAAATAATTCTAAACTTTGTAGTTGTAAATCAACCTGTCTAAACCTTTAAAATAAATCTGCGTGTAGAAAAGATTTGTATTTGCAAAAAAACATAGACTCTGTGAGTAAAATCTGTGAACAAATGAGATCAGTGGTGAGGTTAGATAGAAGACAGTGAAAAAGAAGTGCTTTTGTCAACGTGTGTGTACCGATTCAAAGCAAAAGCAACCATGCAGGCTCTTCTGCAACCCAAGCAGGTTTAATAATATTTGATGATGCCTCAGAAAATAATGGTAAACATTTAATATGCTGTGTATGTAACAAACCCATCTGGGTTGTAGAAGAGCCTGCGCCATTGTCAAGAACCATGTACTTTATGTGGTGCAACAGAAGGTGGTGGATAGTTTTGCACCTGGAGAGGAGGAAACTCAATGGTCAATGACAAATTGTATAATTATCAGGCCCTGTAGTAGAGTTGTAGTGTGCATCTTGGTCACAATTGTGCAAACTGATGGCTTTGGCTGGAAAATGTTCATGTTAATAATTATTTTTCAGAAAACAAAAGAAACAAACAAGTGTGCAGAGTCTCTCCATGCTCCTTTATGGCCAATCAATAAAGTTTACACAAAATACACTGCAGTGATCTAAAATGAGATTTTAAGCATAACATGCCAAATATACATATATTTTGAGGGAAGGATTTTCATGCATGCTGCTGTCACGGATATAATATCCAGAATGAGGTTATCTGTGCTCTTAATTTGTTCAGCAGCTCAACAGAAACACCAGATACTGTATGAAATTAAACTATCAATATACTTACAAGTTCTTAAATGGATATTGTGAGAGAATACAAAAGGACAAAAACACACACCAGGTGATAATTAGAGGAATATTACATAAGGGAAAAAGTAGTCAGTAGTTGTTAGTTATGAGTTATAAAGTCACAAATATGTCACTTGATCGTGTGCACAGACAATGTAAATTCCTTAAGGCACACTATAATTCATACTGAAGATTGGAAAGTAGCACCTTCTCATCAAGAATATCAATATAAGAATATTACAAAGACACAGTAAGAGGTTAACTATGAGGGAAAACTATAGTGGGTAACAGTGAAGAACATAAAAATATAACTTAATGGGAGAATCACTGGTACCATCAGTCCCTTCACTATATAAGATTATTACACGATTTAAACATGAATCCAAATCAGAATAATATTGTTTCATGAAGACAAAAACGAACAGCAATCCATTATGCTAGTTTAACAAGTATTTAGGGGAAGTACAGTAGATAGGAAAACACACTTAATGGGGTTTTACAGGAAACGTTAGGTCAGTCCCTAAATGAAGATTATGAGAACTTCATAGCAAGACCATTAATGAGAGACTATGAGATTAAACCTGTAATGGGTCATTAGAATAGATATGTCATTAGTAACGTGATGGTACCATAAGGCTACATCAGCCCCTGTATGTTATAGAAACATACAGGATGTGGACACACAGTAAGTACCTACTAACAGTATTTTATGACGGAGATTTAAACTGGTTCATGAATATTGTATTATATATTTGCACATCGTTATATGTATTAGCAACATAAACATTCTTATGAACACACATGTGGTTGCTGGTATGTATGTTCAGAAAAACTTGACAGAGACTTTGACCAACCTTTAACGTCTCGTACGCGGTCACGATGAGGAGGAACTTCTTCTGTGCGAACTCCTGGGTCTCTTCCTCCAAGCCGGGCTCTCCCGGCCTGAACCGGTCCGGATGGTACCGGCGAGCCAGTTGCCGGTAAGCCCGGGCGATCTCGGCTTTGGAGGCCTCCCGGGTAACGCCGAGCACATCGTAGCAGACCTCCGTGCCACAGTACAGGCCCTCCAGCAGCGCCGTGATCGCCGGCAACGAGGACACGGAGAACAGGAGCACAGCGAGCCGCCACCAAGGCGTCACCGTCCACGGAGACCCAGAAAATCCTCCACCGCGGCTCTGCTCCGTGGGCGCAGCCATCTCTGTCCGCCAGGCTGCTGCTGCCAGCTCGGGAGCCCAGGCTACCCTGTCGCACGCTGCCTGCAGTATCAGGACGCGCCGGAAGGGAACGATGACGCAGTCACCATGGATGTATTATGAGACCTATTTATTTTTCTTTCTTTCTTTCTTTCTTTCTTTCTTTCTTTCTTTCTTTCTTTCTTTCTTTCTTTCTTTCTTCTCCTTCTTCTTCTTCCGAGCAGATTGGGCACGGTTTAGTGCATTGCTGCCTCCCACTGGCGTAACAACGCAGTTGGGCCTACTACTTTAACATGGAGATCTCTTTCACCGTTTCTGTGCTTTCCCACTTGCATCAAACCACTTGCTTGTCCAGTGTGCAACAGGTTTACTGATGCCTATATGTTGTATAGTTTCCTTCCTCTACTCTCTGCATCCCAACCAACCCCCACCTGTGCTGGCACCCACAGAAAACCCACACTACCTCCCTGTCTCTTACAGTTTCTCCCCCCCCCCTCCCCTCCCACTGCCATCAAGGCAGCACCACAGTGCTCACAGTTAAGCAACTAGTTCTGCATATCCCATCAGGCAAACTTTTACTATGACATATTTGTACATGTGGTATATGTAAGCCAAAACCCACTGCTCTCTGGGTCTCTAGAGCCATCAGTGTAGACAACTACATAACTTAGATAGATACTTTATTTATCCCCTACAGGAAAGTCCATTAGCTCATTGTTGATATAATAATAATAATAATAATAATAATAATAATAATAACAACAACAACAACAACAACAATAATAATAATAATAATAATAATGAATAAACAATAATAATTAGATCAGTCCACTTCCTTTGGCTGAGGTGTTGTATAGCCTGATGGCAGGGGAACAAAGGATCTCCTGAACCTCTCTGTTCTGCAGCGCAGTGAGATGAGGCATTTGCTGCACCTGTAGCTGCTTCTCTGTCCTGCCAGAATGTTGTGGAAAGGATGATTGGTACTGTCCAAGATGGCCTCCATCTTACATTGCATGCATCTCTCCACAACATTACTGGGTGAGTCCAGACTCCTGCCAAGCACAGACCCAGCCTTTTATAACAGCTTAGTCTCTTTGTGTTTGTGTCTGACAATGCTGCTGCTCCAGCAGACTGCAACATAAAAGAGTATGCTGACCACCACTGACTGATAAAACATGTGAAGTATTTCACTGCAGATGACCTGAGCCTCCTGAGGAAAACGAGCCGGCTCTGCTCCTTCAGGTTGATGGCATCCGTGTTCAGGGACCAGCCCAGTTTACTGTCCAAGTGCACACCTAGGTATTTATAAGTGTGCGCCACCTCAATGTCCTTCCCGCGAATGTTGACTGGCTGAAGGGTGGGCCTAGACCGATGAAAGTCGATGATCATCTCCTTGGTCTTGGAGGTGTTCAGAAGGAGGCAGTTCTTGTCGCTCCATTCACTGAAGGCCATCGTCAAATGCAGCAGGATTTCCTATTTCTCCTTTCTGTATTGCCTTTTTAAAGAAAAATCAACATCAGATTCTAGCCATAGTTGCAGGGCCTTATGTGAGCTGGCCATCTGTTCCCTATCTCAATTCTACTAAATCCCTAAATACTAAAAAGAGTATTTTCTGACATGATTTATGTAGCTGCCCCTATTTATACTTTTACCACCCATTTCAAATTCCCAGCATTCAGCTAACAGAGAGATTGATGGAAAAGCTGTTCCAAAGTCTTTTAATTTTATCCAGTAATTTAGTGCTAGTTTTGAATGTTGTTACCCCAGTGGAGCCTCCCGTTTCCACCAGCAGTGCCATAGTTTGCGTTGTTGCGAAATGCCCCAGTACACAGCCTCAGAGCCCTGGCCTGAACAAAATCCATCTAAGTAATTGTAGTTTTGGCTGCTGCACCATAAGTAAAACCCATAGTCAATAATTGCCCTTATCATAGCCTTATAAATCATCAGCATAAGACTCCTATCTGCTCCCCTGGAACATCAAGTCAAGCATCTCATAGTATTTATGACCTTTTCACACTTACCTACAATTTTTTCCACGTGTTCTGTATGTCAATTCATCCAGCCATACCCCTAAGAACTTAAAAACCCTGACTCTTTCGAGGGGTTCTCGCCCCTGATTATCCATTTTCTTCTTTCTGCCAAAGATCACATATTTCATCTTTGCTACTGACAACTTTAAGCCCCACTTCTCACTCCAAGCCTTCACCTTATCAAAGGTACGCTGTAAAAAATTTTTTTTTTTACGGAAAATAACTCAAATTATACAGTAATTTTCAGTTTTTTTAAATTTTGTACAAAAGTCTGTAAAATTACAGAAATGATCTGTGACAGCCAAACTTTAATTGTAAACATTATGCCAATAATAATGAGTTACATTTATTACCCATTTTTGTAAAGAAAAGTTACAGTATTTTGTCTGCTTTTTTAAATTATATACAAATCTATTTAAAATGACAGTAATTATCTGTAATTAAAAATGTAGCTTGTTATTATAAGATGAATGTCCATACTAACAATTTACATTCAAACTTTGTAATTCTGGATGCAAGTGTAACAAACCTTTTTTCATTACATCAAACATTTAAACTTCAAACAAAAACTAGCCAAAAAGTTTGAAGTACTGGAATGTATCCCACCATGTATTGGAAGGAAAGTGGGAAAATGGTTTATCACACAACAACAACAACAACAACAACAACAACAACACACAATCACACACACACAATCACACACACACACACACACACACACACACACACACACACGCGCGCGCGCGCACACACACACACACACACACACACACACCTACAGTATGGACAATTTAGAGTCCTAAATTAATTAAATATGCATGTCTTTGTACTAGTAATCAGAGTCCCTGGAAGAAACACAAGGAGAATGTGCAAGCAACACTGCAAGAAAGAACCAGGGTTGCGCCATATACCATAAAAGAAAACAGTACAAATTTGACAATGACCATTTCATTTGCTGGGGCCACCTGATTCCATAAGCTCAGGGAACCTTGTTATTTGGTCAGTTCACAAACACTAAAATAATGTATTCTGTATACTGTACCGTGTGTTTCTGCGTGTGTGTGTCTGTGTAAAACTAAAACTAAATGCATTCATTTCTTTCTTTTAAACAAATCATATTTTCCTATTGTTGCTATGTTACCACGCTGAAACAAATGCTATTGGCTGTGTCATCGGGGAGACGGATAAACAAAGTATGTATGTTTATATTGCTTAATTAACGTGTGTTCAAGTGAAAAGCTAACTGCGATTAGCGTGCTAGCCACAATAGCATTTTTTTCAATGTAGAAGTAACTAATTTTACTGTGTGTTGCTAGTATGTGTTAATGTTGTCAGATGATTTCAAGTTTAAACGAACTCAGCCTGAGAGTAAATGAATGACGTGAATGAGTAAAGTAACTGAGAAAACTGTGAACTGTGAAAAACTCCCTTGCAGCTATCGCTTGGTCTGGACCGTTGTCTCCAGCCTACCATTCATGTTTCCCATCACCGGGCAACACCCAGTACCTCATTGTTCAGACATGTTCCGGATGACAACTCAGGGATTTGTGAGTAATAACTCACATGCTATTTTGTTTGTAACTCCGGTTAGTGAGCAGAGATGTGTGCTGATGGCATGACAGCAGACATCGCTGAAGTCTTAATAAGCATCACAATCCAATATACTGAAGCTACAAAAACACAACACTCTTATGTACAAGTTAATTTGTTTGTCCTAGACATGCACACCGGCCAAGGGTGAGAGAGAGAAGCCAGAGCTAACTGCTAAGCTAAAGTAACAATCAGTTCTGAAAAGCACGTAAACAAATGCTGAATCAGTGAAATTCGCTAAAAGCAGCATAGAGCTGTGGGTGCTAGAGCAGAACTGGAAAGTTTAAATGTACAGCAGGTAGTTTGTCACTGTAATGAAGAAAATAACAACATTAACTGTGTTCAGATAGATCAGCAATAAACTCTACCAGTGACAGAAACTCCCGAGACTGGCGATGAGACACCTCAGCATGTAAATGGTCACTCGCTGCTGGTAATGAAAAGTAATTAAAGGTACTCTTAAAAATGTAGAACAGTAACACATTTACTCAAAAGGGAAGAGGAGGTAAAAGGTCTTATATGGTGATGATAATAATAATATATGATAAAAGTATTAATGATACTGCTCTGATCATAGATACTTTCTTCATCTCTAATGTGGTGTTCCTTAACTAGTTATGAATAAGAATAAGTAAAATAAAGTAATTTGATAAACATGACCTACTCTGTCTCTGTCCAGTCTGCTGAGATCAAGAACTGCCTGGTGAGATGCTGTGATGCATTATGGGGTTTTTAGTATCAACAACTTCACTTCACAGCCTGCTCTGCTTCTCAGTGTTTTTCCACTCACCCTGCCTCCGTCTCACTCTCCATTCTGCCACACCTCCTCATTAGCCTCACTGTCCATCTCCAATCAAGCCAGTATATATGCATCCCCGGTTCACTTGCTCTCTGCCAGATTGTTTGTAGTATCCATGCAAGACTTTCCAGCGATCATCTCTGGACTGACTTCCCATTATCGACTCTGCTCTTCCCTGACAATCCTGCCTCGTCTCTGCCCCGGTAAACGCCAGTCTTCTCCGTCCAACGCTTGGTGTGCTCTCGTCGCCGTGGCCATGGGCTCCAGTATCTGGTCGACTGGCAGGGTTACAGTCCTGAAGAAAGGTCCTGGGTCCCTGCTCGTCACATCCTTGATCCTCACCTCATCACTGATTTCCATCAGCGTCACCCCGACCAGCACAGTAAGACATTGGCTCCCCCCCAGGAGAGTCCTCCCTGCTCTTCCACCCATTACCCCTGATGAGCAGGAGCCTTCCACCACCAGAGAGGGGCTGTCATCTGACGACAAGGGCCTGCTGACTGCTCACCTGGTTCTGGTTCTAGAACTATATGGAGAGTATTGTGGAAAACAAGATAAAACTGAATTGGAAAATACAAGCTTAAAAACAACAGACCACAAGTTAATTGAAGGTTGGGCTCTGAATGTATCCCAATTTGCTTTTGAAAAATTAAACCCTCTCACAATACTTTCCCTCTCCACCTGCAAAACCATTCCAAACCAACTTAAAAT